TAAGGGAACAAAAACCCTGACCAGGAGACTCAGTTATATCAATCGTGCTGCGCTTCCTGGATCGCAACAGAGTGAGATGGCTGACCGTCGCAAATATCATCATCCTTGGAGCAATAGTCTGCGCAAATCGTCCATCAATGAATTCCTTCTGTTCTTTTATCCAATTGGGCAGCCTAAACACAGCAACCAAAAATGTTACACAAAAGTGCATGATTAATGGTTGCTGAAACTGAATACATCATTGTGCATCGAAATACAGTGAAGCGAACTTAGCTGTTCGTTACCAAGTATATGTATGCATGGCTAGACTTCATATTACAAGTATTGACTACAGTGTTTCACCTTCGTTTTTTAATGTCTCTGGACAGGTTCATTCCCTATCCAGGTCACCTTCCACATATTATGAGCTTCCTAGCGATCACCGGTTTGCTACACTGTAGGTTGATCAATATGGGTACACGAATTTCCAAAAGAACGGTTAGCTTTAATGCAAAAACGCCATAAGACAAGATAGGAAAACATAACACAACAGTTCGGGGAATTTATTGACGTGAAAAAAATTGCGGGAATGATCTGCTGGTCAGGACTATCGCGGTGCAAACAGCGCAACGCAAGTCATCACATACATGAATGAGACGAAAGGCGTATGAACTTTCGGTTGGGGCAGGCAAAACTGAGGTGGGAATCCTCTAGTTTGCAGATAGATAAGTTAACCTCAGCCAACGTCATCTCAAACTTCATTGCGCACTGGGAATCGGGACAGCCGCTGTGGCTGCTGCTTGGTTTGTCGATGTGTGCAACAAATCCTCGGTCTGGTTTGGTGTACTCAACTGCCATAAGCCGTATGTCTCACCCACTTGGTTTTGCCATAATCGCACGGTACCGTCTTCGCTCCCGCTAGCGAAGACGCGACCGTCCGGAGCATATCGAACACAATGCACTGGGCCAAAATGGCTTTTGCATGTTTCTAGAACAAAAAAGAACCGAGAGACCGTGTTCGAATCAGGTGTTAAACTGGTTGTTATGCAGGCGTGTGGATTCTGAGGGGATGGGGGAAACAGAGAATAAGTAAATGAAGGTTTGCTAAAAAATGAAGTACTTTCACTAAACTATACGATAGATAGCAATTTCGACACCATCAAGAGAAGGACTCGGCTGTACTGTTAGGGAAGAAAATACATTGAGTACGGAGTATCACACTGTTCTTTCACTACGCGCTACTATTGTACAGAAGTGTGGTGGTGGTAACGTCATCAAATTATCATCTCAGAAGAGGTGTATTTGAATCATACCACCATGGCCTGACGTAGTGTTCAGCTACGGCAGTGAAAGGCCTGGTGGCAAACCACATGAGGACTGAGAGGCAACTGACCGCCTGAAAAAATTACATAATTGAAAAGTCGGTCGTTGTTTAAATGATACTATGCCTCCTAACTATTGTATATATATATGCGAGTCAAGCCCAGAAAAGGTGCAACACCACGGTTCTGTGGAAAACCGAAGATGCACAAACTCCATGTACCACTACGACTCATTGTCGAATCCTCAACAGCACCCAAATACAATCTCGCAAGGTATCTCTTCTAGCTATTACGTTCATCCTTACCTGAGAACCAAAATGATGCGAAAAGTTCCACGGCATTCCTGGAACGCACCAAAGGACTGACGATCGACCCAGAAGAAGTAAGGGTCTCCTTCGATATGATCTCACCGTTCACCAACATACCGAAGCAAATGGCCATCGAAAGTATCCGACAATTGTTGCAAAACGACCAACATTTGCAATTAAGAACGAGACTATCCGTGGAGGAACTAGTGAAAGTCGTAGAACTCTGTATGGTAACCTACGTCCCATTCGACGGGAAGGCATACTCCTCTGGCTCGGCATCCTTCTCATGAGGCAACCGGAAAAATAGAAACCACGGCCTACCGAAAACTGACCACAACAGATCGCATCCTAAAGTACAACTGCAACCACCCTTCGTGTCACATGAAAAGTTGTTTGCGAACAACACATACAAAAGAAGGAATTTTCTGTTACACACTCACGTGTGAAAAACAGATTAGACGAACCCCATAGTCACGAGGACCTATTGTTCAGTGGTGGAAACCAACAAACTAACCCCCGGGACTTCGAGTGGCGAACCACATAAGGCCCCGATTGGTTAGGCGTGGTACTGAATCGGACGACAGTCGAGCTGCTCATCACCAAAGTCGGGTGGTGGTGGCGGCGGGGCTATAACCTCGGACCATAGGAATAATGTTACCTCAAATACGCGGCACGTCAGAAGCCACTGAACGAATACTCCGACCGTTGGGAATCAAGATAGCCCATAAACCGGCAGCAACCGTTCAATCGTTTCTTTTCAACTGCAAGGATCGAGTCGAACAGCACGGACGACCAGGAGTAATCTACGCAATCCCGTGCCCGGACTGCAACCAATACTACCTCGGTCAGACACGTAAATAACTACGAACTCGCCTACACGAACACAAGCTTGACCACTTGCCAGACCCGTAACGGTAGGTGCACTGATAGACGTACAAACAGCACACAGAAAGACGGTAATCCCATTACCTCATTCATCTCATTTACGTTTGAAAACTAGTCGGCAGTTTGGATCGAAAAGTTACAATAAACATTTTACAACTCAGTGCACGCCTCCAGTCTCTCTCTCCCTCGAAACATACAGGTGTTGATCAAACTCGTGCAACATTACTCTCATTTTGGAAATACATTTCAGCCTCCAATATACTTGTATACTGATGGCTATGGGTAAAGTGTACTTATTCCTGATTTTATCCCCCACTTCTATGTTCTTAGTTTTCTTCTATCACCGATTGAATTTGTGTGACCTTGAGTGTTGCGATATGATTTGTAGTACTTCGACAGTTACAGCTGGGATTCCGGAAAAATTTTACGCAAAACAGTAAGAGAATTCATTCTTTTTAATAAATGATTCCTGTTTCATGAGAGAGTTTACTAGGTTGAACATACGAATTCTAAATCACGTATCTCTTTTCATTAGGTAAACAGGAAATAAGCAAATTATTGAAAATACTCCACCTTAAATAAACTGATAAACTGTATGGCTACAAACTACTCACGCATTATCCACAATACTGAAAGAACTCAAAATATAGTCCAAGAAACATACAAGTTGACCCAGAGGTGTGCGACTTGTTGAATAAGCGTCTTGTGATGTTAATGTTATGTCGCCAAATTAGTTTTGCGCCGCTTATATCTGTTGCCTACTATTAGGTCGCATCGCACTATATCACAGGAGAACACCACAAGTGCAAAGAACACAAGATATAGCACAATAACAATGGTAGCACATGGAAAACAAGAACATCGGACTAACACCAAGTCGGTGAGCGGATGATAGTTCTAGGAGCGGAAGCTACGTAGGCGAAACACAGGACGCATGGTCGGCTATCGATCTCTCAGGCCTCCCAAATACACGCCAGAGAAGACACGGCTTCAGCAGCACAGGATTTTCATGGCATTGAGCACAAGTCACAAGTCCCGAGTCAATTTACAAGTCTTACTCTGCTGCTTGTATGTGACTGAAAATAACATTGATCGATGCAAGAAAACGAATGTACCAATGAAATACACAGCGAACAATGTTCAACGGGCCATAGGCTGCAGATCAGATGAACGGAGAAAGTGAACATTGCCGTACGACGCAATATTATTGGTTTATCTCCGCGAGATTATTGTTGATCCGCGATGACCCTAATTTGGGTCGAATGTGTCCTAACAGTTACTTTACCCAAACCGGATGAAACATTCAAAATGTTTTGGAATATAATCGAAGAGGCAACTTAATTCGATGACTCGGTGTTTGTCTTGTGGAAGTGTTTCGATGTGAACATAAGTCCAATTTGTTGTATATTCTACGAAGATCAAAATATAAACCGAGGAAGAGAAAACCGATTATATCAAAACAAGAAAATGGTTGTACCTGATCGCAGCACAAAACCAATTTGGAAGATAGTCCGGGCTGATTAGCCATTTTTTCCTCACGCTTTCTTTCTGAAACTGATGGCTCAATTTAAATTGCAGCTAAGGCTTAGTGATATGAAGCCCATATGAAACACCCAACAAAGCACAGCGCGTGCTGTTTTCATCAACAAATTCAAATCGCGTCACCCGTTTTTTTGGCGATGGGTTTATTACACGGTGACCAACAAGTTATTCAGCATGCGGTGAAAGCTGATCCACTGATCCAGTTTTCTAATGAACTTCGTTTTACCTGTCAAAATAAGTAAATATTCATTCCACCTGACGATTTGGATGGGAAGTAAATGGTGAATGTTGGTCTCCTGCACACATCAATCTGGAGATCGCAAAATGTTTTGCAATGATAACGGAGGTTTTCGGTAACTGTCATTCTCAAATGCATTCGCGGAAGTCATATTTTTCACAGATGAAGGTTGAGATATCTTCCCACTTGAGATTGTCAGTAAAAAACGGTTGGGCCTAATTGAATATTATTTTTCATATTTATGCAGTCTCAAGTTCAATGTCAAATTCATTCAGTTACCACGAAACCACTGAATCATAATCAAAAACTTCCCTGTATCAGAAACAGGGATAAGTTAGCTTCCTCGACCTTGATTAGGGTGCGGAGTGCATTAGAAGAAACTGGAAACTGTTTGACAGTCAATTTGGTGGACTCCATGCTAAATTGACTGCCTCCAGTGCTCAAAATGAAGAAGGGCAAATGGAACATTGAGGAAATGAAAGTACAATACCTGTGTAAAGTCTATGAGTCATTTTAATAAATAAACTCTAGTTACGTTTTCTACTGTTATTTTACAACTGATGCACCAGTAACCATCGTCAGAATCGCACATTTTAATGGCATGTGGCTAATAGAAACAAAGACATAAGTGGGTATTATATCAGATATGTTGCGTTTGACGTGGAGTAATATCTTATTCAATCCCAGGAATGAAGCCGGAAACAGGAATCATTGAGAGGAAATGTGATTAAAATCAGGATGTTGACCGAGTTTGCTCAATACGACAGTTTTGTAAACAACGGTGTTGATTGTTGTTTTAGTAGCTCGGCGAACAACTGAACACCAACTTAAAAATATACATGTACATATATATATATATATTTATATATATACATATATATATATATCCGCCGCGCGAAATCGCAGGACTAATGGATATGCGAAAAAAACACTGGTCCAACTGCAGTTTCTGCTAGACAACAACACAAAACAACATCTCTATTTCATTTATAAAGATAGAACACTAGTATTAATTGGACTGTTGATCATGCAAACGTAATAAACTGAAAAATCCTCCAGCATTTTTCCTCATCTCGGTCTGATCATTATCGTCACTGATCTGAAAATGTGCTTGATGAATAAGGAAGGACTTTTACTGTTACAGTCTAGTACAATTCAGGTGAAATTCCGTTGCAGTATTCCCAAAGATCTTTCGGTGCTCAGATCTACATTAAACTCTACATCATTACATTATGCCGTAAACGGATGCATCATATCCCTTTCAAAGTATAGCTGAATCCACCGAAACGAAACATGAAACCATCTAAAAGTGCACAATAAACATGAGTAGTATGGAAGGAGCTCTTAGGTTCTACGGTGATCAATAAAAGACCCACCGAGGATTTCACCAGTTGTTCGATCTACTCGATAGATATAGTGATCTTCGCCACCGCAAATCAGCTGATCTTCGGTTGGATGCAAACTGACCGAGGACAAATTGCATGGCAAATTGAAAGTGCGTCCAGATTCCGAATCCCCGGTTGAAATGGGTGCATCCGGGCGGCGCCAATCAAAAACGGCCAGATGGATGCTGGAGCCGTAAACATACGCGACCAATACTTCGGACAAAGCCTTCGACTCCTTCGGATGTAAAAATTGCATATCTAGAATTGGTTTGTCCGTATGCTTTGACCAAACTGATGCATTCACAACTGGTCGTCGAAATCGATCGGAAAAATCCCAGAGACTGATAGGAATAGATGTGAAGTGAGCGATTTGCGTACTTTTGATGCGTTCGATGTACGGACACAAACCATCCGCTGAATAACAAACGCGAATGTCTAGCAAATTATTCACAGATTAGGAAAACAATTGCAACAATTGGAACACTACTCCTATCATCTTCATCGTACAGACAGATACAGTGAAGCGAGCTTCACTGATCGCTGCCGAGCTCACAATGTACACAAATCAAGTGATAAAGCACAAGATGGAGAGGGATTGGGCCTAATTGGAAGGAGGCAAAGAAAAATAACCTTTATAGTCAACACGCAATCTAAGTATGCATACATACCTTTCAAGCAATCTCATTTGAAGAGATGACAAAAGGAACGCCTCTGCTGTCGGTTAGTCGCCATACTCTTCAGTATTTCCAACAAGCCAGTTGCAGTCTTTTGCATCCCAAACTGGAAGACGGGAGACTTATTCTATCTAATCGCTCTGTGCATTTCCTCATGCCTCGCTTCCATGTCATTTGTTGACCACCACGCGGTTTCTTCCAACCTGGAGCCGCAACTGCGAATAAGGCGCGGTGAGGCAGACGATGGCTGGACATGCACAATACCTGTCCTAACCAGCGAAGCCGACTAATCTGAATTCGATGGGACAACGAATTCTCCATGGAATCATTACCAAATACGCGACGCCTTACCTCAGAGTTGTTTACAAGCTAGCTCCATCCAACCCGCGCCAAACTACGTAAACATCTGCAATCGAATACTTCATGATGATGAATATCTTCCACGCGCAAATTTAGGGCCTCGCAACCATAGAGCAGAACTGGCCGCACACTGGCGCAGTATACACGACCTTTCAGTTTCAACGAAACATCGCATTTATACCAAAGGTATTTCAATCTTGCGTAAGCTGCTCGAGCCTTGGAAATGCGGGCGGTTACTTCATTGACTATGCTACCGTCATTTGAAACGCAGCTACCTAAGTATGTGAAACATTCCACTACAGCTAATTCTTGACCATCAAGCATCAGCCCTGAGGCAGACGACACCCAGTCTTGTAGCATCACTTTGCACTTTGAAGGTGCAAAGCCCATGCCGAAAGGAGATACAGAACTTGCTAGTCTGTCGAGAGCGCATTGCGCATCCTCCATAGATTCGAACAGACATACGATGTCATCAGCGTACTCTAAATTGCACAGTTTTTCTCCAGCTGCCCATTCAATACCTACATTCTGGAGACCAGTAAGTGCGTTCTCCAGTACTTCGTCTACGACGAAATTGAACGGGAATGGCGAAATAGGGCACCCTTGACGGACACCGCTCCTGGTTTCGAACGATTTACTTAGCCCACCGTAGACCCTTACGCTACCAGAAGTATGCAGATACAACGACCGCAATAGGCTGACATACTTCCGCGGCATTCCTTTGCGGAGCAGCGACCCCAGAATAGCTTCACGGTCAACTGAATCGAAGGCTCCTTTAAGGTCAAGGAACACTGCGATTGTTGGCCGACGATGTGTGTAACGCAGTTCGAGGACTTGATGTAGAGTGAAGATTTGGTCGATGCACCCGCGACCTGGTCGGAATCCGGCTTGTTATTCGCGGATATTCCTCTCCCTTAAGGGTGTCTGGCGGCGAAGTATCACAGAAGTCAACACTTTTGTGATTATCGGAATTAAACTAATCCCACGGTGGTTAGCGCATTCGTTGCGTGATCCATTCTTGAAAGGAGGGACGCTCATCGATTCACCCCAGGACAAAGGGATACGCTCCTCTGTCCAAATGCTGTGAAGTAAGCTAGTAATTGAGCCAACAAGAGAATCTCCGCCCACCTTGAAAAGAATAGGGAGAAGCCCATCAGGTCCCACAGCCTTTCCTGTTTTTCATGATTGAATGTAGCTTCGTACTTCCGATTATGATGGGGGCTCGCATGTTACCACCCATGGAGTTTCCGTTTTGGTTTTTGTCTTTTAGCTGCTCATTTGGATGAAGAATCGAAGAATGACAGGATAGTTAAAAGATGATTTCAACAGAAAATGGAGAATTGCAATGGACTAATGTTGCCAGGAAATTGAGATGGACACAACACTCAGACATATCATCCAGTGTCTATAACCATTGAGTAAGATCATTCAGTGGTACCCAGCCAGGGAGCCTAACGGGCTTATGTGACCCAGTACCCAGATACCGAGTGGAAAAAAGCCAAGGGTGCTCAAGTTAAGACCTGGCACGAGGGTATGAAAATCCTAACCAGGAAATTGGGCCACATAGGTCCTGTTAGGCTCCCTTGCTGAGGACCTCAGGATGATCGTAACCGATGGTTAGAGACACTGAGCGATATGGCTGGG